CACAGCAGCCGTCGTCTATACAATATATGTGAATAAACCCAGAAAATTATAACCCCCCCTCCTTCACTCTTGGAAAAATTGTTAGCCCCTCCCTTTTTCATATACAGAAAATGGAAAGCTCCCCCCTAGAATTGCCCGGCACCCCCAGGCCAGATTAACTGGTGATTCCCTTAACTGTTACAATCATTACATGATTACGGCGTTTAGGGCTGAAAGCTAAGAATCAATTTATTGTCCTCTTTCCTTTGATATATGGAGCCCCAGTAAATATGTCTATTTCACGTCAATCTGTCTGTTTCATCAGCCCGAATATCGCGACTCGAACGGAAAGCAATATCATTCATTCATTCATTCATTCATTCATTCATTCATTCATTCATTCATTCATATATTCAATTAATGCCGTCCCGTGCATGAATAATATGCAAATGGAAATATGTAAATATATGTTCCTGTACGTAATGATTACGGCTGGATCCTCCGTGTAACAATTCCGACGAATAGCAAACCATTGGTGACTTGAATGGACGAGGTGGGTTCTTGTTGGATGGGGAGGGGTGTTACAAAAAGACGATAGTGCCTCTGCTTCTGTTTTTTTTTTATTATTTATTTTTACTCAGTAATACAAGTGAAACTAATAGCTGTTATCATACAACAAACTACATTTGGCTCTCATACCAACAAAGGTATATAAAGTACACCAACATTACCGCGTGACAAGGGGCGGATCTTTTCTCCAGTCGAGATTTAATACGTTGTTCAATTTAGATGGCGCCCTCAGTGTTAACATCGGTATTTACGGTTCACTTCTAAAAGAGTTAAAATCATCTACCAGAAAAAACAGTAGAATCACAAGGGAGTTTATTCCAACAGCGTTCATCGTCACACGTCTTACCGATAGTTATAATTAATAACAATTACTAAATAATCACAGATGATGAAGATTGGTGCACTAATAACCATTCATGCGACACACGACGTCCCAGATCAAATCTTTGGCCCATCAACAGACTACAATAAAACAATGAATGACGGGCAATTGAAATACTGCTTGCCATGGCAACGGCGAGATAGATTGGACGACTGAGCTCTTATCTGCCTAATGGAAGACATTGTCAGATGTGGTATTATCTGATGAGAGAAACAGCTCCAACTGAAATCAACATCACTATGGATACAGACAAGGATACTGAAAATAAAAAGATACTCATTGTTATAATGAGTCGACAATAACCGAACACATACTTGCTGTTATATTGTATAGTGAGCTTGACTGGGAGACAACTTACCGGTTCCAGAAGTGGACGTTTCCATCGTTGCCGTGTCATCCTCTGCTGTCGGCGCCATTGTCGTCTGAGCTTCAGTATACCCTATAAATGCAAGGAAAACAAAACAAAATCAATCTTGATACAAAATAAGTCTGATAATTAATTTTAATGATTTGACCTACTAAGAGAGACCTCTATATATTATACAAAATGAGAACCAGTGTTGAATAAAAAAAAGCGCCAATGTATAGCGAGTATGATGACCCACCTATGACAAGCAGAGCAACCATGGCCAGTACGAGGAACACCTAAAAGCAATAAAACGACATATATCAACACGGTTGGTGAACAAATTACAAAAGTCTACAAGACAACATCAATCCAAGCGTACACGGCTCATGATTATAGATTAAACAGATAGCTCTTTATCATTAAGTTGAAATATTTATTCTGAGTTTCGGTCCACTCAGACCTAATTATTATTCATGACATACGTATATACATCACGACATGACTGACGAATTGCAGACACGTCTTGCTGATACATAGTGATACGTGCTAATGGATTTTACAGTTCGGTAGCAAATCGTATCCAGTATTGCAAATAAATAAATAATTTGAAAATATGGAGATAAAATTTAAATAAATAAATAAATAAATAAATAAATAAATAAATAAATAAATAAATAAAATAAAGTAACGCACAAAGTACATAATGACTGCATAATGAAGGCATATTTATAGCACGGTGAAGACACTACGAGTCTGTAATTAACATTTTTTTATGAAAACAAAAAAAATTGCCGTCTCATTATCTGCGAAGTCTTTCCTCAGTCTGCTAATTATATTGCCAGCCTGCACCACATAGCTCGACATGACATGTACAGTGAACACGTCACGCTTGGGGGCCAAACAGTGTTTCTCTTGCTCAAATTATTATGAGTGGCTTTTGTACCCGAACTAGTGTTGCGAAAAAAATAAAATATTGGTTTTCCAACACAAACAGGAGTAGAACGAAGCAGGCATAATAATGCTTGAACGTTCACGGACCGTGAACTTATTTCGTGCCAGTGGCGTTTATCTACCGGCCATAGTTTAAATACCGCCTTTTTTTACGATATATTGAGGACATATTTTTTTAGAACAGTCTCCAAATAGATTGATATACAGCATTGTAATTTGATACTTTACATAGGTGAAACACAGAATTCTTAGCGATAGAATTGTCGTACACTGTTAGCCGTCCTTGTGACGTAATAGAATTTTACCAGTTTATAATATCCAAAATGACAAGGCATTGTCATTGTTCTTATTAACGATGTTGGTACTGAAGAATTTATCTGCTAGCATTCGTCGATTCTCGTATTCATGTGACTGCTTGCATACAATAACGGTGTTAAGTACACTGATGAGCGCAACATGGGATAGAGCACGCTAATTTTTCAAAAAATCGTGTTTAAAATTCGATTTCTGGTTCATGGTTATTTATAGTTATTAATGACTCGTAAGTATGTGCTGGAGATGCTTTCAGTTTATATGTTACAGTAATAAGCCTATTTTACCGTACAGGAGACTCGAAAATGACATGTAATTAATATCTTTTGACAGCGGAATGGATGACATTACATGATAATAGGTAAAAAAATATATCGACGTTTTACCTTGGTAGACATCTTGTAATAAAAACAGTATAAAATTCTCGCACTAAATCAACGATTTCAATCTGCAATACAAATAATCATATAATAATTTATTGGAGAATCGCTGCAAGCACTGAACCGGTAAAACCCTATCGAAAACACTCAACTGATTGTATCTGATGCACGACTGAATTTTCAATGTAGTCTGTAAGGACAGCACAGCTACGCACAAGATAATGCATGATGTCTGGGTAGGATTTAAAATATGCTGTGAAAAATTATGTATTTGGTCAAAAAAGGAAGTGAGCAATTTGATATTTCTTTACAATAACGCCCATTTATGTAATAGCCTCCCATAAGGTTAGGAATCATAATGATTACGCTGTGCGGAAACACGGCATCGGGGCAGTATCGTCCTCCAAGAAAACAAACTGAAGAGAACATAATGATCGACTTACCTGTGACTACAGCCAGCAAGTGAATGTACTCTGCCGGTTTGCATCGAAATTACATCGGGTATATAATTTGCATAATGCTCCATGTTTGTGACGTTGTGGCCAAAGAACACACGTGATTGGAGGAATGAGTCATATGTAATGTTATCATTCGCTGATAAATGAATACATTACACCGCAATCATAAGACAACGATCTCTGTTGCATAATCAGCCACTAAATATACCACGGCGTATAATCCGTGCCGTTAACCTGGGAGAATACTGGTTTCTCTAATTATTCTAATTATTACAATAATTTTAGTCGTAGATAAAACTGATAATAATCGGTTGATAAAATACTGATAATAATAATGCCACACCCATTGTACGAATATTCAGCCAATATTAAACCACCCCCACAGGCTACCTCAACAACAACAATATGCAAATTTATTTATATTCCAAGTTGCAGGTTATTTGTAGCTTGTTGACGTGTTTTTTCTCTAATTGTTTTCCTGGTACATATTCATGAGCGAATGTCAGTAAAAGTGCATATATTCATTCTAGATGACTCAGGTGTATGACGGTAGAATTTTTACATCTGTATAACATTCAAATGCTTCCATCATTATTCAAGTATATCATTACATAATGTCGCTTTCTAGTCTTCCGGCACAGAATTAACTGTCGTAACACGCAAAATTCCAACAATTTACATGAATATTTTGAATTTTTGTTACTGTTTATCGAATATCTTCCTTTTCCAAAATATCTCTAAATCTCATTTCGGTCACGTACACACTATACGATAATGCAGCGAGTTAAATGTGACGGAAATTCTTTGTTATTTACAAGCTTCGTATTAAGTACTTAATATTATACGTCCATGCTAATGTGTACACCTGTAAAAGGTCTGATAGTATATGCGTATCTTTCATATCCTCGTTGCTTCAACTGATATAATCCCTAACCTTTCATTTACTATGCATCGAGCTCGTCTCTCAACAGCAGCCTGTGACTGCATTTAATCTCGCCGGTGACGATGAAAGCTTCGTTGCCATGGCGATTGATATATAAGATGTATACCTTGAGGGTAGTGGGTCTTATGTATTTCAGCCGAGAACGCATTTTTAGCAAACTACAAATGCAACAAAAAACTGCATGAATTGTCTGCATGCACATTTGGTATTTATATATGCCTTAAGGCTTTCTTCATGTCAACAAATAATGTACCTGTCCCATTCCATGGCATGAGATAATTATATGTGTTGTTAAAACACATATGTGAGTGTACAGGACACTGTGTCCTCTATTCGTTGTGGGTGTCATTGCTTCACCACCAGCATAAGTACACACGATATCTGTATATAGATCACCTACATCAAGGCCTCTATCTCAAGTCAGACACGTAACTCAGCTTACCTGCCTTCGAGACTTTAAAACATGGATGTTTAATACATCGCCTTCTGACGCCGTTTTTTTCTCGTTTATTTCAGCTATCCGGGCTGGTTTTCAACAAGCATTGAGTTAATATATTTATGACCATGAATATTGTAAGCTATTGATTTAAAAAAATAATAGAGTAACCAGTTTTGAAATAAATTAAAAACACAGTCAAGGGTTCTAAATGTACATTTGTAAATGTCAAAGCTTGCAGCATGTGTACGTAGTCATCTGTAGACACTAATAGTATCACGTGATTTTAAAGATGGAGCGAGGAAACTATCATTCCCTTTTATCTTACGTGAAAGCGAAATAAGGACGTCAATTTTAGATACGGTATACATGAAACATGTGATGAGAATTTCAGTCGCCGATTTAATCAACCATAATGCATTTCAATAGAGTCACTGTCTGCCTACACTAATCAGTAGTCTAACCAGTTATAAGCAATATGTGAACCAGCCAAAAAGGAAAAGCAGCGACCAGGTCACGTGATACATCGTGATCAAGTGTTCTAGTACTCTGTTAGCCATGTTGACATTCTCCGAAAGATGACTATGGTTTTCTTATTTGAATTCACTGGCTGGAAATCTCGTTGAAAAATGTGCAACTTAGATACTGCAGGAAAAAAATGCAATGAAAATGCATGCATGCATTACAGAAATAAATATCAAGTTCGAGCATGCGCAGAAGAAAAAAATCCTACAATGTAAAGTAAGGTATGCCAAAAATATATTTTAATCAAAATCATTTCTACAGGTCTTTGATACGTCTGTTACTCGTACAATCAGCAGAGAGGTCAAATTGTATTACAGGTCAAAGGGCATTTCGATTTGTTGACAAGGTTTGATTTTTGGGGAGAAACGAGAATCTTGGATCTTTCACCATTCAGTTGCTATGGCAATACGGTGACTCACCACCCAGTATGTATTCTGCACAAGAAGTATTTTGCTGGGAGATCTACTCACTACGCTGTCAGAAAAATGGGGTAATGTGACATCTTGCATGAATTAATCCATTTCTTAAGAGTCGGTGATCTTCGGTCATCACATCACAAATCACAAGGTACAGTCGGAAATGACAAAAAGTTTCGCATTTCAACAATAATCAGTCAGAATTCATTAATTTAAACGCAAAATTACAAATGTAGCGTCACACTGAACAATACAAAATGTCTAATCATTGATATTCAATTTAATTAACAGCACTGTAGTATTCATATGCACAAATATCACAGGATTTGTTAATACATCTCGTCATATTAGTGTTGTTGTATAAATAAATATAAAATAAATAAACTTTATTTATGCTATAGTTGTTACTATTTAGTGGTAATACACCACCACTGTATCTGTAATACTGTGTCGAAATAATATTCAGAACACTGGAGTTTGAAATATATATCATATGTAATTAAGAATATGTCATATAATAATAATTATAATTAACATGCTAATTTAGAATTAATATGCTCATTTGCGTCATTTAATTTCAAATGAATGTAAATTAAATTGTGTATGTATAATGTGATGTATTTTTGATATTAGTTGTAGATTTCAAATGATAATTTATGACGGTTGTGGAGGATGTAATCATTCTAAATACTTGAATACTTCACACCATGCAGTCTGTATGTCTGTCTGCTCCAGATTTGACTGTGTAGTGTGGTGTATTCGTCATGTTGTTTTGTTACTATGGATTGCTTTGTGGGATTGTAGTGTTACTGTCGGTTGTTTGTCAGTCATTTTCCATTCGGTCGAATTTATAGTTTTTGTATGGAAAAATCCCTGGCATACGAACACCTCATTACGCTAAAAACATAAAAACTTGTGTTTGGTGTTTGAAACCGAAAACGACATTTAACTGTAATGCCGTCGCTGATTGGCTTCTGAGTTGAATGCTGATTGGCTTCTGAGTTGAATGCTGATTGGCTTCTGAGTTGAATGCTGATTGGCTTCTGAGTTGAATGCTGATTGGCTTCTGAGTTGAATGCTGATTGGCTTCTGAGTTGAATGCTGATTGGCTTCTGAGTTGAATGCTGATTTCGTTTTCAAAAACTGTTGGGAAAGTGTTCTAGGTTCTTACCTCTTTATTTTAAATAGTTTCAAGCCGTATTCAAGATGGCTTCCCCCATATAGACAATATTGGAAAATTAATCGCATTTATTTTATTATCACTTGTACGCCACGAGTTAATTGGCTCGTTATATTTTTTCAGCTTGTCAGTCAGGTTGATAGTCTTCCGTAGTTCAATATTATAAATAGTAAACAGCAAAACTTGCTGCATTTAGGAAAGAACAGTAACGGTAAAACCAAAACACTAAAGAAACGGGGAAATTAGAAACAAGAAGAGTTTATTCCGCAATTGGAGACCAATCACTCTACCCAACACAGTATGCAAGATGAAATCAACATGCAAGGCACGTACATTTCACATAGTATTGCCACAATTATTAGCGTAACTCAATTCATTAAATAACTGTCTAGTGGGGACTGCGTTTGATTATGCATAATACTAAATATACCAGTTTAACTAGCATATTATTTGCTGCCGATTTTCTAAAAGTTTTTGATATTTTAGAATGGAATTTTATGTTCCACGCCCTAAAGATTTTATTTTGATCCATCTCCCAAATGTGGATCAAAATATATTACTAGTCGATTTGCCCCCCCCCCCCCATCAAGCTGAACCCCTTTGTCTCAGCCAAATTTGCCCCTCAAAATGCAGGAAATAGCGTTTCAGAGGGTCTAGATTTCAGTTTTTCAGGAGAGCATGCCCGAACCCCCTAGTAAGGTCACGCTATCGGTGTAAGGGATGGTGAGCAGACCCCCCCCCCCCCAACCAATGCAAAATATAGTGACACTACCTCTGCTCGTTGATGCACAGAAGACTTAGTCCTGGCTATTTTGATCTAAATAGTCGATCATAAATAATTCATTTTTATTCACTTGAATTACTTGTGACCTCCCTGCTTCGTAATGTCTAACCATGAATTAAGATACTGGGGATAATTAAGTCAAACATTCAGTCTTTGCCGATTGCCCGACCTGTTAGGTAGAATATCCCGTGCAAACTTCTTCTGTTTCTCACCAGGTTACGTGTTACTAATATGAGATCATATAGTTCGTTGGCGAGGTTGTTTTTTCAAAAGCAAATATTTCTGTGTTCTCTGGCCGATGTCTCCCATTAAACTAGTTGGCATCTACTTTTGTATAACCAAGATCAAGCTAACCAGGTCAATATTGAGGATATTATTGACTCTCTAAGTAAGTATAATTTGGTGTACTCGGAACATTACATGACAGTGGTAAATCTTAGATTATTAATAAATAAATAAATAATAATAATACTTCAGAAATGTATTCAAAATGGCCCCCGTAGAGTTGCGAGAATGGAAAATTGTGTCCGTAGATGAATTCACAGGTTGGTACCCATGGTGACAGGTCCATTGTAGCTCGATAGCAAGGATGTAGGTGGTATTGATATGTATATAATTACGTGAAGCTATATTGCATTTAGTCTCCGTGTCATGGCAACACATTGTATTTATGTGTATAGTTTAGTTTTACTGTAATTATTTTGTGACTTATATTTTTGAT